CGACGCTTTATGTATTTCTTTGATTTCTATGTAACACGGCGTTAAATAGTCAAAAGGTTGTCGTGCATTTTGCATGTCGGATTCACAGGTTTGTCGTATGAAGCCTGATTGGGCCCTTAAAATAACGCAGAATATAAAATTTTAGGCGCACAATGATTATTGGTCTTAAGTGGGCGCAGTGCAATTTGCGCGGTTCCCAAACTCACTGATAGTGATTACTCTGGGTTCAAGTGAATAGAGAACATGCGGTCCCAATAAGGAAGCAATGTAATTTTACATTCATATTAAATCATTAATATTACATCAATGATAATCAGAGTTAGGGGTTAGGGTCAGGGTGATAGGGTTTTAGCGTTTAGGCACATTGGTTTTATTGGGACCCATGGGCCATTTTCGTCTTCTTGCGGCCGTGAAGCTTGATAGGGTCTATGTCGCCCAGGGTACGTGCCGGGAACGTACCCCTGGTACCTAAATACTACTATCTAATATGCCGCGACCGATACCTCGCTACTTCACTAAACCGAGTCATAGGGAGTCGCCTACGCCTACTCCCATAACCCTAACCATAACCATAACTCTAAACCTAACCTAAAACCGACAGGCCTCTCCGACTGTTACCAGGGCGGAGAGCCTCGGACACTGCTTTCATACGAAATGCCTGAGGTAGCTTTGAAAACAAACTCCGAATTTTCCTGCTAACAATTTTCGTAAATAAAACAATGTTATACCACATTGACCTCACCTGTTACATGTTGAACTATCGCTACACTTCCTTAATTTACTATTTACCTCAAAATACACGTTAAAATAATGAGAAATTTTCAAACAGCGTATACTATTTGAACGTTGCAAAACGCCATGTAGGAGTGGTTTTTTATGGTCTTTTCTTGTACGGGGCGAAATTCTACGAACTTTCCTGCTACGTATTATGGGAAAATGGCGCGTTTTTTGAGTTTTATGCTTATTAAATTTACTAAACAATTACTCGCTGACACGTAAGTACATGCTCCAGTGATTAGCGCACATATAAATTAAAATCGAGGCGTGTGAAGTACAGAGAAGCCTGTAAGAATCATAAAAAGTGAGATAATTATAACCGATTTTAAATAGCAGGCCGCAACGTCTGCCGAACCATATTGTTCTTAATGCGTCGGTTTGTGACCTCTCGCCAGTAGTTATTAGCGAGATGGGAACTTGTGCTAAACCCTAACCCTAACCCACTAACCCCTAACCATATCAGCTACGATAGTTACCAGGGGTACGTTTCCGGCAGTACCCTGTGGGGGACCATAGACCCATATCAAGCAAACTATCCTTGCATCCATTCCACCTTACTAACTATATTAAGTAATACTTATAGAGGCTAATAGTAATTAGGGGGTTCTGTTACATAGATGCAGCCACCCAATCTACCTTAACATTAACCTATAACCCTCATCAAGATAGTCTTCAAAGTCGAAGGGTTATACAGGTCAATTATATCGAAGACGAGAGAGACAAAGTTGATCAAATACTCGACAGGATAGTCGTCAGTAACGCTGAGAGGTCTATGTCACAGGCCAATTGAAGCGTTTTCAATAAAAACATAATGCTAACTAATACTAAATCTATTTTACTACCAAAATTCTTTTATGTTCTTTACTCTCTTTCACCTATTATTGCTGCAGTTCTCGCCCTTCTCCCATGTCAATATCCGTTCCAAACCCTACCGTTCCAACGCATATACGCAAGCCAGGCCGTTTGGAACGCCGAGAATTTCGTCAGTCTTGTATGTGATTTTCGCGTGACACAGCTCGTTACGAACAGAGACATATATGGTTTTATAACAAGTGAAGCAGCTGTTGCTTGACATACAAACACAAGGACGTGGAAAGCTTGTTGGATGGTGTATTTTGTGACTGTGAAAGTGATGAAATCCACGCGAGCGTCGAGCAATTGTGCGAATCGCCCGCTTTTCCTACTGCTATCATCTTTTAGTTGAAGCGTGCCAACAGTCGCGCAGCGAAAGCAATTGGCCGGCTGCGCAGCGTTATATGGTTGGACGATAGGTTTGGACGCGAATTGACCAGAACACTGTCCAGGGCAATAATAGAGTTTGGGAAAGTGAATATAGAAACATCTAGAATTTGGTTGGTTAGTAAATAGATTTTGCTTATTTAGTTAGCATCTATCATTTTTATTGAAACACTTCACAGTTGCCTGTGTCTCATGTCCCATGGTACTTGCAGAACGTACCCTGGTACTATCTAATATTGCCGGGCCGTACCTCGCTTACTCACTCCACTAACGAGTCTAGGGAGTCGCTACGCTCTACTCCCTAATACCCTAACCCTAACCCCTAAACCCATATCCAAATAGTTTATTAGCGTACGTTCCGGCTATACCTGCGTACCCCAGGGTACTGTTCCGCAGTACCCTGAGGGAACATAAGGCCTGTATGAGCCTCTAGTCAACTATAGCCGCGTACGGGCTTGCCGCTGGGGGCTATAGGATCAGCCATTACGGATGCATGGGACCAACTTACTCTCTATGACTCGCCGGACTATAAACGTCTGTGGGTAGCCAATTTAATGCTCTTATCCGAAGGTGAATATGCTCTTAAGTTATATCGCCTACTAGAAATGTACTTCTAACTCTCGTTGAAATAGTTTACTTGTGGTATTCTTCGTGCAGCGAAACATTCGTCATTTGCCCGAACTTCAAAGCAGCCATTTGAGCGGGCGATGCAACAGCGGCCAGTGAGCGGGAACTATGTATTCCGCCACGTGGAAGGGGTGGCAGGTTGGGTTGGTTGTGTGACAAAACTAATTGTTGTTGTCAAGTAACAATTAAGCGATCAAAAAAAGATTGTAATATTAGTTTTGTTCATGGAAAGGATGAACAAATTATATCTATTATTTGTTACTTTGACAACAACAATGGTTTTGTCCACAACGCAACAACAACAATCCCGGCCCCACCCTTCCGACGTACGGAAATACATAGTTCCGCTAAACTGGGCTGGGAAGTAGTTGATTCCCCGAAGCATTCGTAATGCGGCTGATCCCTACTCTCCTATTAGCCCATATCAGATAGGTGACCAGGGTACGTTCTGGCACCAGTACTCTTGGCGACATTAGACCGCTTATGAGCAAGTACTAACAGTACTCTTTGTCAAAAGAGTGATGCAACTGTTCAGAGAGAAAGAGACTGGGATGGAAAGAATTCTGGGAGAAGCTGACTGCTAATATGATCTACCTGTGGACTGCACTCTTGTAAACACCATATTAAGTTCACTACAGCAGTGATCAGTGGAATGAAAGTGAAATTCCTTATCGTTTCATTATTTTAGGTGTGAACAACTCCACTGTGAGATCGAAAATTTTTCCTGTGTGATCTGCCCGATTGCCAGCCAGTTAGACAAATCTCGTGGAGGAACAAGTTTTGTGAAGACACTTATCGTGATCTATTGACCAGCATTGGTTAAAGCATTGGCATGACATCATGAGAGGAATTCAAAGGGAGACATTTCAAATTACATATTGACTAGCGTCCACAAATTTCTCTTATGCGTGTAATATTTGTAAAAAAAAAAATTTACATAAAAAGTACAGTACAATGGCACTAAATGTACCTTCAATTCTTACCTGATAAAGATTTGTTTTTTCAATTAAGTTAAGATCCAAAAAATCTGGGCGGATTCGATATAATTGCCTTTCATGACATTAAAGATGCCGTGCTATGGGCTATGTATGAGTCAGGAGGCGTTATGTTCACATCGAACGGATAGCAAATAGGAAGTATTAATGCAGCATTTAACCATAAAAACGTGAATAGAGATCACTTACATTTCTAGTGAAAAATTACTTTTATTATTTACAGTGGATGTAATCAGTTTAAAGGACAGAATTAGATGATTTCACGGTTGTCCTTTGTTTTTTTTGCAGCGGTGCAGGTGAATGACGGAGACAGGCGGTCGAATACATAACTGCGCTTTGGGAAGTTACCAATAAGTGCATTTCAGGGTTGAGGAGGACGTTGGTGTGGTCATCCACTCTAGAAGCCCAGGGATTGACCTAACTTGGAGATGTTGGTTCATCAAGTCTGACACTGTTTTGGCCATGGCAAGCCGGGAATTTTCAGTACCATGGATGCATCTGCATTGTCAAATGGTTATTATATACAAATCTTTCACATAGTCACAGTAACAACGCCTCCTTACTATACATCCCACATAAGCGTTCATACATCTGATTAAACCGTGTCCTGATCAAAGAGTTCAGATGAGCTGTTAAGTTTCATGTACTCATTCAAGGACGCACTAGGTTGAACCAGTGGCGCTTGCATCTTTCCATATACACAGCGCTGAGCAGAAATTGCCCCACACCAGACCGCTCATTGGTTTTTGGAGCTTACTTGGAGTGTCTGGGAATCACCTCATTTATTGGCATACGAAACCAGAGGACACATTTCGCCTTGGCAAAAACAGACTGTTAGTCATTACGGTCGGCAAGCTGCGAGCGATTGTGGGCATTTGGCAGGACAGGTCGATTAATATGCCAAGACACATAACTAATAAGCAGGCACACAGTAACCTTAGTGTGTAGCTACACTTTTGAGAAGCAATTAGAATTATTTAATCAAAACTGTAAATTGGGCTTTTGGGGTATTTGTCTGTTGCTAATAAATTCTAGTGGTTGCAGTTTTTTCCAGTTTCGGTGTGATATTTGGGTTTTCGGGTGTTTATGTATGTTTTGAAGTAATTAAGTCACTGTTGCACTATAATAATATATAGTCAGCCATACATCCTCCATCGGAGCTCCGTTACTGAACACAACCAGATGTTCTTATAGAAATCTTCATCTTTTAATTGAAAAACGGCTACGTAATGTCTGATGATACAGTGTTGCACGCTGTGTATTAGTGAATACGTTACTCCAAAATTTATTGAGCCCAATAATATGTGGCTTACGAACTTCACAAAAATTCATCATAAATGTAGTTAAATTTTTTATTTACAGTTTGAAAACTCAGATGGGCCGACCAATGTAGTTGGGAATTTGCGGCCACACAAAGAGAAATGCTGCAAATTTGATCCTAGATGAGTGCACAATCTTGACACATGCTATCAACTAAAACAGTGAGAACAATCACACAAAGCCTAGAGAAGTGTCTGTCCACAGTAGGTTGTTGATGGGTGCTACTTTGAACAACTGTTGGTGGTGATGATCAGCATGCAGTATTACGTAAGGTACAATATATGTAGGTTAGAGAGTGAAGGTTTGCAGCAGCAGATTTTGCGCTAGAAGAGCGGTCTATGTCCCCTACGGTACTGGCCGGAACGATACCTGGGTAACGGTCCGGTATCCGGAACGTACCTTGGTTACTATCTCAATATGCATGGACTGCGTTACCTCGGCCTACTCCACATACGAGTCTAGGCGGGAGTTCTGCCCTCCCCCGGCCTACGCCTTACTTTAACCTTAACCCTAACCTTAACCCCAACCCTAACCCTAACCATATCAGATAGTTACCAGGGTACGTTCCGGCAGTACCCTGGGGGACATAGACCTTATGAGCGCAATTTGCCTTTAAAGTTCCAGTAGTATTCTCAGTGTGTGAAACTTATCTGCATTTTCTAAATTTACTAGTTTACATAATTACTTTTTTGACATCGTCCTTGACATCACTCTATTGTGCTCAATTAATAGAAAAGATGGCATTGGATTGTCTAAATCAGAGTGGATCTAGATTTATAACTGAATTAGGTATGTACAGCAGTAATGACCAACAGCAAATGGTTGCAGGGGCATGAAAGAACACATGTAAATATAGAAGGGGTTACCTTTTTATTATAGTAGCCCGCGTTCCTTGTTGTAGTGAAGATTTTTGGGGGCATTTCATTTTTTTGCAACACATTCACCGTATGAATGGGTTCATTTATTGCTATAGATTATTATATTAAAATTTTGTTTATTGCTTTCAGATGAATAGAAACTCGTATGTCATCTTGTGTGGCCAAATAGCAAAATACAATGAAGATGTGCCGTACCCACCACCGCTCCCAAACGAAATTGAGCAATTGGTGGCTGATCATAACATCACTAGGTATGCTGATGATGTATGCTGATGATGTATGCGGATGTATGATAATGTAAATTGATATGATTGCTTTGCTGTAAGCTGCTATAACCAGTTATCAACATTATCAAATCCATGCAATCTGAGGCAAGGGGTTTAATGACCTTTCAGCATATTTTAAAATGCCAAGACCTGACTTCCTGCATTCATGCATTCCTGATATTTTCGGAAAAGAATCAACACTTTATTTTATATGCTAACTGGAGAGGGATCATAAAAACGTTTCATCGTGTAAATGTGCAGTAACACGACAGCGTAAATTTCTAAGAGGTGGGTTGATGGGTGCTACCTATCACAATAAAGAATTATTGCAAAGATTTCTCTGTCAAGTGAAATTATTATTGTCTTAAACAGATTGTATACATGTCCTATGCTAATTCATACTGTTGGTCATAAGTTATTCATACACTCGATTTGGTAGTAACTTATATGATCAGTACCAGTACCGCATGAAGGGTCGTTGTCGTATCAGGTACTACAGATATGTACCCGAGGTAGTTTTAGGTTGTTTAGTATTATGTTTATATTTATATATGAGGTATGTTTAGGGTTAGGGTTAGGGTACACTTCTGTAGTACAAGTCTGGTACACTTTGTGTATACATAGGCCTATATATATGTACCTCGGGTACATATATGTAGTACCTGATACGACAACGACTCCTTCAGCACCAGTACCAGGGTGCCAAATTAATGGGAGTCCGGAGTCAAATACTCCCTGATTTACTGTCGGACTCCCTGATTTTACATATGCAGGAGTCTGTGTGACTCCCTGAAAATTCTGCCATACTATACTAACTAGTTCGTTCCAGAGCACGGCCTTGCGGAATTACCGTATTTTTTCAGCAAATGTCCAAAGAAAATTTGGCAGACGTGTAACCGCATGAATTTTCAAAATAAGCACGTGTTATTGTTAATATCTTTAATTTTGAACTTCAGACTGCGGACTCCCTCTTTTTGAGGGTAGGGAGTTTGTTGGACTCCCGTGTTCAAAGGTTAATTTCTACCCCTGCAGTACCGTTTGAATGTTTAAAATTATATTGATCTTGTCTAACTACATGTCATCAACTCCATTTAATTTAATTTTAGAGAGCGATTTCTTGTTCTTAACTATCCTGAGCAATTTGAAGGAGCAGTCAACCAACTGGCATTATGGTATTTTTCTGGAAAAATTAAGGTTAGTATAATTATGTGTAATGCATTTGTTGTCACAGTGACACTCATTGCTAATATGGCTCATAGTGTCTATGTCCCCCAGGGTACTGCCGGAACGTACCCTGGGTA